AAGTAATTTTTAATTGATATAAATTTGTTCCAAAATATCAAAACAAAGTCTTTTAAGTTTAACAATATAAAGTGATGGCGTTATCTCTAAATTTATAACTTCAAATGTTTCCAAAAATGTAATGTATATTGTTATTACATATATTGTATTGTAATGTATATATGTTATTGCAGGTATATTGTACTCTAAACTACTAAAATGATATTTTGAGTACTACCTTTAGTGAAACTGTGTAGTAAGCTTATATGAGGTGTGTTAATTTAAAGACACACTATGCAATAAAGACTTAAGCATGAAGGAACAGTGACAAATCCCACAAGATTGAGTTTTGGTTGATGGAACAATGGAACTCGCAAGATTGAAATTTAAGCAATAAAAGAAGAATGTCTAGCAATGGATTAATCTGTCTATACATTTAAACTAATATTAAAAAAAACTTATAAGGTCATTAGATTCAAAGGATAAGTTAAAGGAAAGGTTTTTTGCAAACAGTTGTGCCTTATACTTGGGAAAAGTAATTAGATCAGAGATGTAACCATGTATGAGAGACTGAATGCTAGACAGAAATTAAGTTTCTAGAACTAATTTCATAAAGTACAAGTAATTTAGAAAAAATGGACCTTAAATCTAGTAATTGACCTTATTGTCAGAAAGTCATTATTGCATTAATTTCTTGAAATAATAAAACATTTGTATTCCAGAGAATTTTTCTTTTGGAAAATATGAAAAAATTGATTAGCGGATTAGCTTTTGAACAGCAGCTGTCCAAAGAAAAATTAATGGGTAGAGTCTTGACTAGAAACCTAAGAAAATGAATGACTTCATTTTCTTAGTTTTCTAGTCAAGAAAAGCTTCCATGACTACCTGAATCCAGGAGATTTGTAAAAGAGTCACAACACTCTGCAGAGAGACAAAAGACATCAGTCCAAATATGTGACTATTGAAGTCTTTAACAATCAAAGAATAATAGCCACCAACACTATAAGCTGAAAATGAAAAAAATATTCATTTTAAAAATAGCAAATAGATCTGGTGAATTTTGCAAAACATAAAATTTTATTCAATGAAATGTTACTTCTAAGAACACAAATATTTGCAAAAGTTAGATTAAATGATTTTAAATTAATACTTTTAGGCCCTTTAGCTGTGTTTAACTATAAGCAATAAGCTGTGTCTACCTCATTCCTGCAAATCAACCAAAAGAGCTCTATATGCATTGTTGACAATGCACACAAAAAGCACTAACAGGAACACCTATTCACAACATTTATATATATATATATATATATATATACATATATATATATATATATATATATATATATATACATATACACATATACATATATATATTTCCTTTGATATTTATATACAGCTGTTGATGGAACCAGCCTGAGAGCTACCACAGTTTGAGAATCCTTACTATTAGCCTTTAAATGAGTTTTAGAGCTGTATCCTTATTACGAGATAACAGAATAAGTTGAACAGCCATTAACAAGAAGGTACAAGTAACAAACCCAGGGCTAAATTTAATGGTTGGACATTGTCTGGCTAAAACCTCAGATTGTCCGATCAATTTACAAAGTAATCAGACATTTTGATCAACGGAAATTAAACTTTACAAAATAAAGCTGGCATGTGATTGAACGATAGCGTTCAAGCGTGCTGATCACACAAATGATTGTTTTTGTTTACAACTTGACCACGACTGTTTAGATGTTTTGATGATTTAAACATTTCAGAAATGCACTGAAAAAAGAAATGTTAAACTAAACTTAAACAAGGAAAAAAATTGAAAAAACTAAAGAATAAGCAAAACAATCCTTACGAAAAAGAAAACAAATTAGCTTAAAAATAAAACTAAAAAAACTTGAAGTTAAAACTACTTTTTGTTACATTTTTAATTGCATTTGAAAAAAATTACTTTAAAACTAATCTTTTGAAACGTTTAATTACATAAAACGCTTTTACAAATTACTTCTATTGATTGTTTAATAAATAAACAGATTTTAATGAAAAGTGAAATTATTTTATCAAAAAGAAAAAAAGTATAATATTTTTAAGTTTATTAACTTTTTTTTAAAAAAGTTGCACACAAAAAAAAAAAAAAAAGTTTAAAAAATAGCGTAGTCTTTTTAAAATAGTAATTTTCATTCATTTCATGCTTTAATTAGTAAGTCAAGTTTAAAAAAAAAACCTTTAATTCTTTATAATAATAGAAACAAACAATAAGCAATTAAATCATGGGGAGTTTTAATTTAACTTATTTATAGTTTAAAGTAACTTAAAAAAATAATATTTTAAAAGATTTTTAGAAAGACATGGAAAAATAATTTAAACGTTTAAATTTATTATAAAAATTAGTTATATACTAAAAAAATTCAAATATCACATTTAATTTACACATAATGTGTTTATTTTAAACGATCATTGTAATTAATTTTTGATTTTATTTAAAGTGTAAAATAAAAACTTTGAAAAAGATCAATGATTATAAGTTATTTTACAACTTAACGATTTTTTTATTGCATTTAAATTGTTAAAATGTTGTTGAATTTATTTTAAATAAAGACGCCAAATTGTAAAGAAAAAAATAGTAAGCGTTGTCAGTTACAGTGTGAAAATTTAAGTCTAATAGAACATACAATATTAAATTGAAACTACTTTATTAAAAAACAAAATTCTGCGATGAAATATTCTAAATAATAAGGAAAGAAACTACAACTTCACAAGACTAACGTAAAATAAGATGACAAAGATTTTGATTGCATGAATAAGATGACAAAGATTTTGATTGCATAACTCGGTTCTGTAAAGCCGTAAAGACTATCCGATCAAATTTTTAAAATTATATTTTAAAAATTTGACCGGATACTGTCTGATCTAAACGAGTTTGACCGGACATTTTGTCCGGGACTTTATAAAAAATCAAATTGAGCCCTGCAACCCATAAAAAGAGTCATAAAGATCCAGCATTTATCACTCTAGGCAAGAAACAATGTAAAAGCTTTTTACTTGCACCAGCATATTGAATGGAGAAGGGGTACAAGGTTGCAGGGCTTCTGATGAAAAAAATCATTCATTAACATTAAAACTGTATGTTAATTCGCACTCATAAAATTGTCATCGAGCGTGATTATGTGCGCTCAAATGTCCCTGAGAGCCACCATGAGGTTTAATTGATGAAGATGGTGCTCATAAAAAGTTTTCTGTTTTTTATATAAAGTCCTTTTATTGACAAATGTTTTGAACAGCGCACACATAACACTATGTCAACAAACTAACTCTTTATACTTCCTAACTTTTTCTGTATAGTTTTCACCTTATAACGATTTTTTTAAAATTATTTATGGTAAAATAAAAATGTAATTGCTCTTATTGATTAAGTATTGAAGATTAAATTTTTACAGCGATTTAAATTTTTGCTTTTGTTGTTTCGATATATTTATTTAATAATATTATTCTGTTAACTTAATTAAGAAACAGTTAACAACTTTTATATTTAATGATATCTTTTCAACTATTAAAATAATATTAAGTTTATGTTAATTATTATAATACAAGAAATTTAATTAAAATTTTTTTTTCAAAATTATTTAATTTAATTTATAAATTAAATTGTTTTGAATTTTGTATAATTTTGATAAATAATACTTAACAAAAACCTATACTATATATAAAAATGAATTTGAAAAGTTTCTTTTGCAAATATTTATTTTCATTATAAATGATGTGTGAGATATTATAAGCAATAAATAAAATAAAGTTTAATTGATGTTTATACAAAATTAAATATATTCTGAAGTTTGAACATTCTTATACAGTCTTCGTTTAGCCAGCACTTTTGCGCTCAAGTCTTTTCCTGCTTGACCACACACCCGAAAAAACTATGGTGAGTGCATTAAAAAAAAAGCGTTTTGTCTTAAATTGTAACAATTTTTTTTTGTTCATTTGTTTAACTTTTACAAAAAATGCTTTTTTTTACTAGCTTTTTGATTAAAATTATTTTATTAACTCAAAGCATTCTTTTCACTATTTTTATTATAATTAACAGCAGAAAAAAAATGAATTTTTTAAATCACGCAGGCTAACTTAAAAAAGTTAAATTTCAAACGGAGAAGACTGCTTATACAGTAAATTTCTTTTCACATTGTGTATGTATAGTAATATTTTATTCGCATTTCATTTGACTATGTTTCTATTCAAACTACGTTTCCACATAAGCTTGTTTAAAATAGTTAAAACTCAATTTTAAAAATTAACTGTAATGACTTCAAACTTTTCATTCATTAAAAATGATTTGAATCTACAGTATTTATTACAGGTATGTGTGAGGTTATTGCAGGGCTTGCAATAAGAAAATCGCCCAGAATTTTTTATAACAAATAGAAAACTTTTTATGAGCACAGCCTTCACCAATACAATGTTAATACAAAAGAAAAAAACGCATTCTATGTTAAAGCAAGTGACGTAATGCTAATATTTTGTAACAGAGCTTTGTTAGTTGAAAGAAGATAGAATTTTACAGTTAAATTAAACAATTTTATCAAAAGTATTTTACGAAAAGCTAATTTCACAAATTATCATTTTTTCCCTCTAAAACTCTTAAACAAGCGTGATTTTATACTCTCATTATAAGCTGAACAAGTGTTGCTTATTGCACCTGGAAGTTTTGAATCTACCGTTTACGGGCGTGACAGGAGCGATATATAGTGGAAATAGATAATAGAAATAATAATAACAAATAGAAATGAAAGAGAAAAAGAAAAATAAGAAATATAAAATGCTTATTGATGCTAAAAATATATATATTTTATATATATTCAAAAGCAATACCAATAAAATAATTAAAAATTTTAGTATTTAAAATATTTGATAAAAAAATACTTAATTTATACTGTGTACATTAAACTGTAAAAATATATTTTTAAAATGATTTAATAATGTAAAGCTTAAACTACATTTTTTTTAAATTGCCGTCTAATAATAAATAAGCATACCGCCAATAGTACTTTCCTGGTATTCATGAAATTGGCCTTTGACAAACCTTAAAACTAAACTTGATTTTCCAACCGCAGATTCACCTAAAAAAATCAATTTAGTACAATATAAAATACAAATAAATAAAGCTACAAACAATCAAGTATTAAAAAATTCATTTTTTATGTCTTAATACTGGTGTATTTAATAATAATTAAGTGATATAAAACAGGGGTTAGAAAGAAAATCATTTATTGTACCTACAAAACTATTGCAAAGAGAAAAGTAGCAAGACTTGTTTTTATGTTAACTACTTACCAGTTATAGCTTTTAGAATTTATATAGTAATGTAAATAAGGGTATAAAAGAAGTCTGTAAATTTTTTTCTAAATATTTAATTCATGAGTTTTAGTTGTTCAAACTTTTGACTTTTTGGAAAGTCATTAATGGGAATTAGTGATTTTTAAACTAAGTTTAAAGGCAATCAGACAACTGCATCCTAAGTTTGTTTTTTTAATTAGGAAAGTATAAGTAAAACTTTCAAAAAAAAAAAAAAAAATTTAAATTGAGGAAAACCCTTCCTTAGTCTAAAAATCATAAGCTAAAATCACGCATTTTTGAATTTTAAATACATATTTTAAATACATTTATTTTAAATCATAAAATGTTCCCACAAGGTATTTTATTGGTTTTGGAATAGGAATTACTCAATATATATATATACTTTTACTCTTTATCCTAATGTCACTGTCAGTGGCATAAATAAGATTTTTTGATGCTTTAGAAATGATATTTTCAAGCATTATGCAAACTCCAAACTTAAGTATGCTTAAGCTCATGTCAAATGAGAATCAACTAGTTTAGTTAATTCTCCATTTAAAAAATGTTACAATAAACAAAAATATAAAAAAGTATATAAATGACTATAGCAAGAAAAAGGCATAAATTAGCCTTAGAGTCCCATTAGAAAAGCTTTTTCGAGCTTGGGATATAATACCCCAAAATAAACATCCCAGCTACCCCAAATGTGAGGGCAATGTCTTAATTTTTTTTTTTTAACAATCTTATACTAAACTTAAATCTTTTAAGGTTCAAAAGTTTTAACCATGTAACATTTTCATCCTCCCCAAAATGAGGGGTTTTTAACTTTTAAATAATCATAACTTTTGAATCAATCAAAGTTTAATATATTTAAAATAAAAATAAATTTAAGCCAAATGGTTTAAACCATTTAAAGGGATCCCTAAGTACTATAAAGATATGATCTCATATGAAAGAGCATAAAAAAAAAAAATGTTTGATGTATATTATTTTTTCTAAAACGTAATAATGAACACACACTAACAAATTTAATTTTCAAAAAAACGCTTTTCTTCGATTAAAAAAAATGCGTCTTGTCCAAAGTTTATTGACTCTACTGCCTCAAAACGTTAGTACGTCAAATTAAACAAAGTAGACAAAATGTCATTATTGCAAACTTATTAGTTGGTAATTAAATTTAAAAGTAGAGTCGTTTTTTTTCAACTAACACATAATTACTTACAAGAATAAGTTTTGTAGCATTTTGTGAAAATATATTTGTATATTAAAATTTTTTTTATAATATTAATTTATATATTTGTGTTATAAGGGCAATTCCACGGCTAAAAATGAATAGAAGTCAAATTTTAAACTCTTTTTAGTCACTTAAAAACAAATGAATATTGACTTAGACATGTGAAAGTTTATTTAAAATATTGCCTTAGTAAAAAAATAAATTTATTTCAGTAGTTTTTATGGTTTCAAAAGTGACGGTTACTCTCATTTTTGCTTGATAAAAAAAAATAATGATTGTAAAATGTTTTAGTTAAATTAACATTTATGTTAAATTGCTATATTTTTTTGGTTCAAATTGATAAGGTTGAATAGACATTTTATTAGAAATTAAACTAAGACAGGGCTCGAATTAATGCAAAAAAATCTAATCGAAAAAATAAAAAAAATTTTTTTGCTCTCCCCCCTCCTCTCTCTTATAGCTCGCGCCGATGTGCGGTAATAGGGGAAAAAAATTATCGTCAATAAATCAAAAAACGTTGTCAAAAACTTAATAAAAAATTAGATACCACGTTTTTTATAATTTATTGTTTCTTGAATAAAGGACTAATAAAAGTTTAAATATAATCAAGTTTTTCATTTAAATGGTTGATGTTTTTATTCAATTTTTCTATTTCAAGTTTTCCAATAAAAGATAAAACAAAAAAATTGACCTTGTAAAAATATTCCACGCAGAGATTTAAAGTAATTTAAATTCAAAAATGTTTTACGTTGAAAGAAAATCTCCGCGCGAAAGAGCAAATCATCTATTCATCTATCTATTCAGAATAATAAATTGTGTGTGACGTTCTTTATGATAAAAACATTACTTTTAAGAATTGCTAAAAAAAAATGCTAAGCTAGAAAAAAAGTAATTAATCAACCAAAAAAAAAAACGAGTCGCGAAAAGATTTTTTTTAAGAGAAAACTAATCACAAAAGTGTGTGTTGCAATCGCGATTGCGATACGCTTAATACGAGCCCTGTAAGACTTTTTTATAAGTTCTAAACTATTTAAACCTATTACTTAATAACTTTTTTTTAACGACGTCTTTCAACTGAATGCTATTATACTGTTTTTGCAAAACTAATTAAAAAAACTTGATTAAAACTGAACTATTTAATCACGACTTTTTTTTACTTGAAAATCGAAGTAGATATTCTAAAGTTGTTGTGACGTACTAACGTGATTTCTAACGACTAACAATTGAGTTTCAATGGTGAAAAAATAAAATCAAAATGGAGTTGTTTTTTAGTGATTTCGGCAATTGCTTTTTGTTAGCATGCATTTATTATTACAATTTAGTGAAAAAGAAAAAAAACTTACAAATTTTTTTTTTATGCTCTTTCATATGTGATCATATGTTAGGAGCACTTAGGGATCCCTTTAAAAAATATCAAATTAAACTAAATTTTTTTCAAACAACTTGAAATTTACAGCAGGAAAGTATCAATTACGTTTAACCTTTCGTTTGACAAAGTTTATTTAAAATTTTTAAACAGATTAAAATAATTATTAATGATAAAAACTATTAATGCTGAAATTTTTCCTAAAAAAAGAAGTTCTATTTTAAATTAAATTAAAGATTGTTGATAGAAGATAAAAAAAAAAAAAAAAATTAAATACTTTATTCACTTTTCTTTACTAAAAAGTCTTTGACTTTTAATAAAACAGTTTCCTAATTTTTATTAAACAATTAAATATTTTTAGTTAAACAGTTTCCTGATAATCCATATTTCCCAATAATTCCATATTTTAGTAGTCTAGTATTTTAACTCCTATAATTATTACAGTGGTTAAGAAAAATCTAAAAAAAATAAAATTAAAATACCAGACTACAAATAATCAAACCAGACAAGTCAAGAAACAATATTTCAAATGACCGGGAAAAAAATCTGAAGTTGCACCACTAATTGTATGCATATATTTAGACTATTTAGACATCACTAATTGTATGCATATATATAAACTATTTAGAGGTTGTCCAAAAGTTTTTCCATAATCTATTGAAAAAATAATAATAAAATAACAAGACCAGAACTTTTTTTTATATAATTGGCATGGGGAAACAATCTTTTCTTTCATTATTCTTTTTTTTTTTCTTTTTCAGAAAACTGTATGCTATAAAGATAGGCAAATTTAGTAAGCATATGGGTAATTCTGTGTCAAATGACCCAGAAATTTTTAAAAATGTCACCTTTTATTTCAGATTTTGCTGATTTTTACAGTTGAAAATACCTAGTAAAGTAAGAACCCCTTGAAAAATTTAGCCTCTGGCTCCAAGAAGATACTGAAATATGACTGTTTTATTTTTAGTAGATATTGGTCAGGCCCTTCTTCTGTCCCTTCTGAATAGCAACATTTATTTAAAGGTTTCAAATTACATAACTTTAAAAATATTTAATCTTTTTACTTAAAAATTTGTACATGGCTATTTTCAGGGGTGGCAAATCCAATGAAATGATCAAAAAGGTAAAAAAAATATATTTAAGTTGTTTAAAATTTGTATATATCAATTTAAATAAATTTAGACTTTTTAATATACCTGATTTTAATTCAACCAAGTAAACCATGTGGCCTTACTAATATAAAAAAAAAAAAAAATTATACAACATTCTATATTCATTGATCTTTCAAAAAATATAAATATTTTGATCTACGAGTATTTCTATATAGGCACAGGGTCCCTCTTTTATGTAGCGGATTACTTAATTATTTTTTTTTAAACTTTCCATAATAGATAGAGCTCTGAAACTTTTGGCATTTCAGTAGTGCCAATAAACACGCATGTTAGAGTTGTTTTCAGGGCCTGAGACACCAGGGGTGAGGTCATAAGCCCCAATTTTTTGCAGTGAAATCTTGTGATAGATTTTTCACTAATTTCCAGACAAGCTGGAGCTCTGAAAATTTTAGCACTCATGTAGTCCTGATGAACATGTATTAAAATTTTCCAGTTTCCAGGGCAGATGACAAGTGGGCCAGGGCACTGAAGGAGATGTCCCATTTTTCTTAAAAGTTTTTTTTTTTTTTGCATTTTTAATAAAATAAAGAAAATCATCCTAATATTTCAAAGATTCTTTATATTTTAGATGGTTGTGTTGCAAACTTAAGTATAAAAACCTAAAACTTTTACAATATCTGTTTCCATAAAAATGATTCTGATATTTCATTTTTGCTACAAGTCACCATGTGATGGTATTGGTGGTACTGCAAAACTATTAACTGCAAATGCAAGTCTACAAAGACCCATAGATATTAAATTGAAGAGAATATTTTTTACAGAATTGCACACTATTTTGAAAAAATATTTTCAGCTAAGTAGAATAGTTCCTGGAACTAGGAGCTATCATCAATTTAACCCAGAATCTATAGATACCATTAGCTTTAAATCAACAAGTGAAATTTTTAATATAACAAACATGTTTTTTTTTCTGGTATTCAAAGTATTTAACTTATCAGCAAATTAACATCAATACATTGAAATTTGGTGAATTTATTCTGTGTAAATATGATACATTTAATTGGATTGGTA